TATATATATATTATTTGTTTTTCACTTCACATTTATGCTCCCCTCACGTAAAACGTGTCACACTGCACGTTTCGATTTTGGAGCCTTTTGTGATTGACAGACCCACAACTAGGGTCTCTGAACAGACCTATGAACTTATCTATATGAGACTCCACAGCTGAAAACTCAGATAGTTGGAAATAGTTTACACATACTAGTGGTCGGTAGTGAAATATTTCGTTTTGTTCATACCTTTTGCGCTTCCAGGAGAAATCTGAAGCGGGGAAAAGATGAACAAGCTGTGTCAAGCTCCCCTAAAGTTAGCATCATATTCCGGAAATGGCACATTTTGACATCATTTAAATCAAAGTTTAAGTTTCTCATACAAAGTTTAAAGTCAGGTAAATTAGTTTTTGTGATTTTTATTCATTGTGTCAGGTTCCATGCTGTAGAATCCCTCGTTTTATAAAGCATTTCGCATCCCTTTTTAAATTCAGCGTCTTTTGTTTTGAAAGGATTGACCGGATGTTGCGCAGCTAAATGTCTTCCGTGTGTCTTGTCAGTTCGGGATCAAAGAGTCGTTGGATCCTCTGTGTCACACCGTCCTGTACTCTAAGTGTAGTGTGTTCACTTGGTTGTCTACGGACGCTCTTCTGTCTGGATATCATTTTATTTTTTTTTATTTCTTTGGATTACATTCATCTGATGGTTTTCAATTGTAACTCGATGTATAGAGATGGGTAAACTGCACTCGAAACATGGTAAGATTCTCCACCGTTCCCGAGAGAAAATCTGAGCTGTAGTTGCCAGCGCTCCGATACTTTCTAGCAACACAATTCATTGTCTCCTCCTGTCTTTTTCTGTCTCTAAAGCCGCTATTTGTAAACCGAGGGAGAGTCCAGAAGGTAAGCGCTTTCCCCCACGCTTTGGCTACTTTAATAATTTCTGAACATTTCGGTCAGTTTGTAAACAGTTTCCCCAACATTTCTTTTTTAAATTCAGCAGCATTAAAGCAGAGAGTTTGTTCGATGGGGTAAAAATACATTTCGGAAGAAAAATGAGCGATGAAAGTATAGTTTAATGCTGTTTTGTGTTTTTTTAAGGCGATAGTTTTGTGGTGAACGCATGTTTGGCGAGAAAAGGAATCGACGACTGGCTCGTGAAGCAGAAATACTACTGCACGAGCTCTCGCCTCGAGCAACAACAGGACTGTCACCTGAAGAATAACTGCGGCTTAACGACACGGGTAAGACGCATATATTCAAAAAAAACTGTGTATTAATTCAAGTTCTGCGTTTTGATATTTTTTGTATTTAAGTGCATTTTTTATACTGCAAACTTTTTTTTTTTTGGCCTCACTTTGTCTGCGTGCTCAGACTTTCTTGAACCTTAAACTTTTTAGTGGGTGGCTGGAAAAAAAAAGGGGGTTCCCTCTGTTTTGAATTCCTTGATACAAGTTTAAAATGTGACTATTGCTTGGCTTTTAAGATATTTTGTGGCTCCCTTGTAATTAAGGTAACAACAGGCCCAGCCTGAGTTGAAAGCATTGCTGTGTGACAGTCTGGTGACAAAAATGTGTGGACTGGAAAAGCTGGGCAGAGTTGTTGGAGGTCATGCTTGTTTTTGTATTTTGGCAGTGCGGTAAACACTGTGCTGTTGTTGTTGTTGTTGTTGTCAAGAAGGGAAATCCTTTGGAATTGCTTCAGAGGAGCCGTTAAGCCTCTTTCATTAGAGATGCTGTTTCTCAAAGGAAACTGAAGCCCATCAAGAAAAAAAGAAAGAAAGAAAAAGGGAAATCGGTTCCTCCACCCACGATCCAGACATTTCGAGCAGAAATGCATCTATTTTTTGAACGCAGCTCCCAATCCAGGATCTAATGCACTTTGAACACCCCAAAGCACAAACTGTAGTAGTCTTTTGTGRTGTTGCACTACGTTATTCTCAGTTTTAAAGCACCATGGTTGTTTCTCTGTTTTTTATACTAGAATTTCATATTTCCAGGTAAATGCTTTTGTTCTGCTTCAATCCCTATGCTAAGTTGATACCTTTTTGGCAAACAACTGTTCTTAGAGGCCATGCCATACCATATATTTAAAGTTAATACAAGGACACACCTTCAAATTAACATGCCAAATACAATTTCACTTTTGTATAATGAGCCTTGGGTATGACGAACTGATGAGCAGCAACCAGGTGGTGGAGAACCAAGATTTCTGAATCCTCGAAGCAAATGTAAACTTTAAAACCCTCTTTTGTTTTGTTTTCTGCTGCCAGGTGTTTCAGCTTTGCATTCTAGTATGATTGAAGTAAAAGTTTGGCAAAGTGTTAATGGTTGTGGTGTCAAAGACACAATGTGTGACCACACATATGACAACAGAATCATTCCCTCGTCAGATACGACGGGTTTGAGATGTTTTCACACTTAATCTATCTTGTTTTTTTTAAAGCTCAATGATGCGTCTGCAGAAGTAAAACTGTTCCACTCATAATAATATCACTTGCCTCCTGAAGGCAAAAGAGTGAGCTTGTGTGTGTATGTGTGTGTATTAACAAAATATCTCCCAAACCACTAACAGACTTTAATAAAACTCAAAAAGCAATCATCAGATCATTGAATATACATCTACAGCTGAATAACTTTTGCTGACAACACAATTCAAGGTGGCTACCATGGATAACTGACAGACAACATGAAAATGGTTTTAACGTAGTCCGTTTTACAGATATTTAGCTACATTTAGGCATGGTAATAGGTGAGAATTCGCATCAACGCATACCAGATCCTCACAATATTGCATGAGATTGCACACATCATTTACAAGTTTGGTCCAAAACGTCTGCACCTCTTTTCCTTCTCATCGTAAGATGATCTTCATTATAAACAGTGACAGAAAAGGCCGATATTCATTCCTTTAGGAATGTTGTTTCGCATTGTAACGAGTTCAATTTGTGCAATTTTGAAAAGATTTACAAGCACAAAATTACCAAGCACGTAACCTAAATTATGACCACAACAAACATTTACAGCTTCGTTCCTCAGCATATTAATATGATGTTCTTTTCCCTGAAACATTTTTGTGTTTCTGTGTTAAAGCTTTGGCAAGAGGTGGAGGGGGCCCTCTGCTGAAAGGGTGGGATGTTTTACAACAATTTAGAATTAGCAGAGTTGGGTTTGCGTAGTTTGTGTGATTAATGTAAGCTTAAAGCATTTCTGTGGCATTTGTTGCATAGACAGACTTTATATAAATTTATGAAAGTATTTTTTTTAAAAATGTGTTTTACTCCTTATTAGTCAGAAGCCTCAGCATTTATTTATTTATTTATTTATTTATTTATTTATTTATTTAAGGATTCCCATTAATCTTACCAATAATAGAGACTAAAAATGTAATAGAGTAATGTTTCCACCTTGAGCACCTTTGAGTTATTAGGGAGATTTCCACAAAATGTCATAATTCCCTGCATTAATCAAAAAAATGTAGGAGACAAATTGAAGCAAAACACCTTTTTTTGTTTAAGTCCGAGTAAAACAATCATATATTTCAAATACTGAATTATTCCTATCCGCTTTCTGCTTGGAAAATATTCATAGCACCATAAGTCTTGGTTTTATTTAGCAGAAACTCAAAACCTGACCCCAGTGTGCTTTCAGAAAAAAAAGGGAGCTAAGCGCTTTATTGCTCTGAGCTTTAAAAGTTGTCCCTGTTGTATAGAATACCTGGTGAGACAGTTATTTATAGCCGTCGTTCTTGAAGCTCCCCTCCCAGTTGCGCTGGGGTCCAGAAGAATGTGGGTCGGGTGTCGACAGTGGGGAGTCCTTACTTAAAAATTCTTTTGATCTGATTGTGTCCGCATCTTACTCCCGACAGCGACATAAAATAATTTAAAGCATGCCATTGTTGTGGGATGCTGCTCACATTAGTAGCTCGCCCCTCGTAATTGGTTTTACCTTGATTCTTTGAGGCGTACAGATGCACCGGAGGACTTGGTGATGTTTCTCTGCATGTTGTGTTATTCATTCATAAGTTCTGCGCTCAGATTCTTGGTAGACAGCCACTGAGTGGTCCAGGCAGGTGGGTCTGCGCGTCTCAAACACGAGATCATGTGAGCCTCAGAAAACTTTCCTCCCTGTAATCAGCGCAGTGTCCACACCCAGCCGTAAATTTGATATGTTATGTGCAGCCTGCACACTCTAGACTTACTGATATAGATATGTTGATGGCTGAAGATTTTCACCACAAAATATTTTGTAAGCTTAAGCTGACTTGTTTATTTCATTGCTTCCTGTGGCATTCATCGTGACTTCACAGTCTGTTTTAACGGCGCTCCTTAGATTTTTTTTAATTTATTTTAAATTCCACCCCATCCCCTATTTGGTTCAGCCCTCTTCTCCTGTCCCCCCATCCTATCCTCCATCTGTTTGTTGCATTTATTACGTGGCTTTGTGTTGTTTGTGGTAGATGAAATGAGGCTGTAATTGATGTGCGGGGAGGTGTTTGTAGTGACACCGATGGCTCCGCCCTCTCTGAAGTTAAAAACACCCCCTCCTCCCCTTCCACACCCAGTCCTCTCAAGCTCATATAAATCCAAAGCTTAGATTTTCTTCACCAACAGTGCTTCTGGTTTGTGTGACGCTCAAAGAGCAAAGGTACATGTGATGACAGAATGTGTGAACGTCTGCCCTCGACTCCCTTGTCTCACGGTTGGTTGCATAAGCTTAGATTTCTTTTTTTTTTTTTACTTGTTTTGGAAGCAAAAAAAAAAAAGAATTTGGAAATAGACCTAAAGATTTTAAACACCCTCCCTTACCTTCTAAGGTGGATAAAAGACTTTATTTTTCTTTCTAAGTTGTATTCACAAAGCGAGGGCTCTTGTCTGGAAGCTAAAAGCACCTCTCAAACACAAACTCCTCTTCCTCTCTCTCTGTCTCTGCTGCTTTCTGTTCTGTGTGTGCGTTTTCTTTTCCCACCGGCTTGCCTCTTGTGCATGCTGTGTGACGTATGCCCCTCATCCCACCGGGTTGTACCCCCTCTGTGGTCCCAAGGGACCGAGTGCCTGTTGTTGCTCTTTAAAGAGGCTGAGAGAAAACTTTGGAGCTGCTCTAAAGAGAAGAAAAGCCCAGTCTTTGGGAAAAGGGGCAGCACCTGGTCATAGAGGGGCCCTGTGATTCTTTTTCTYCCCCCCCTTTTTAAAATTTCATGAGAAGATCTGCTGGAAGTTTGCGGGCAGACATCAATGTAGCTTCAGGACTGGGAGGTTCCAGGATGTGGAGGTGGCTTTAATGTCACCTCTAGCATTGTATGTCCCATAGTTGACTAAAAGCTGAAAAAGTTTTTCCTGTATGACAAAGCTGAGTGGATTACTGTCAGTTGTTGTGAATAGTGCCATCTGGAAAGGATTGCTCTGAAACAATGATATTAGTTTGAATAAGATAAAAGCTCCTGTGGCATGTAGATATTTGAGCAGCACTTTCCATCTTTCTTTTTTTAAACTGAAGACTTCTATTTTTCTTCTCTCTGGTTATCATTCTTTAAACACCAGTTTTTTAAGAAGTTCAGAATTGAATCTTCTGAGCTTACTTGTAGACGTCTCTTAAAGTACTGCTTTTTTGTGAACGCTGTAATCAGCTGTCACCGTAAGGTGTCTGCATTAAAAGTGTTTTTGGCACAATAAAGCTCTGAGTGCAGCGCTGGCATTGGTGCATATCTCTTCCTGCGCGTGCATGTAAGTGTGTAGTACGTCTGAAGTCAGCTGTCCGGATGCACTCCAGAGATCAAAGGCTTCTTTGGGAATGCGCTCCGAATCTCAGGGGATTAGCAGCTCAGATTGTGCTTTGTTTCCCCAAATATATGCTCAGATTGGAGCAACGGATAGCTGTTGATCAAAGCGTCTCCCCCGCTTCGGGGTTTTGTTCCACGCTTTACGGTGGCGTTTATGTCAAAACTCCTGAAGAATAGATTTTGAAGATGATCTGCTCTTTTGTTTTGAAACTGGACTGCTTTTATGTTCGTTTGTTTTTCCTTTCCATTTTTGAGTTTGAGTTTTGAAGCTTTTGAGTTTTCAAGGAAAAATAAATAAATAATAAAAAAATTGCAACTAAAATCTCTTTTACAGGAGGCATAATGTCTAAACATGTCCACTAACATCAATAAAATAATTGCATTATTTTCAACTCTGAAGACTTTGCTGTTGTAAGGGGGGTACATATTGACTCCAGCTCTAATTGCCAGTGAAGGGAACATATGC